TATATATATATATATATATATACAATCTTTACAAAGCATTACTGTAGATGCATTTAACTTGAGTTGGCGCCAAGAATGCCACTAGTTAGTATTCTCGGAACAGTTGTGTTGCATAGCAGCACAGTCATGTGTGCCCTTCTGTACCAGGCTAATGCAAATCAATGATGTGGTCGAAAGGGAATCTTGTGCATTGAACCAGGGGCCAACGGGTGTCAGCATTTCTCTGGCCTGTGATAGCACACATGTGCATATGTGGAATCCAGGGGCGTCAAAATTCTAACTAGGCTTGATATATATGGCTTACTTATCTAAATATTCATTGCCAGAAATGCAGGAAAATTTACTTCATAGTAAAACGCAAATGAATGAGGTTCCATTTAAGACTTAATCCTGACTTCACGCATGAAACTACGGAACTAATGACAGCATTGAATTCTTACAGCCGTATCCGTTGTTACAGCTGATTTACTATTTGAAATCGATACGACGTTAAATTTTATCTGTTTTCCCCAGGTATCTCCTTTGTCCCGAAATATTGTTCGACGCTTGTCATTGCCGAATGATTCACCGATAGCAGCAAATTATTTCGATGGGAGGTAAATTCTAAGAACAAACACGCGTTCTGCTTGTGACTGCCACCACGGTCGCCCAACTTCTGCACAACTGGCATGAGCTGCGGCCTAGCAACTATGATGACCTTGACTCGAGTTTCACTAGGGATAATGGCGACTTTATTGCACAGTGGCGGAACACCTTCTGATTTAATCTTAGGGACGCATTACGTAAGGATCAGATTTCGAATCTCCTCACAGAAGCGCTCTACCCCGTCTCGAATCGACATCGTGACTTTTCTCAGGCCCTCCATACAACTTTTTTTGATACTGTCGTGAAATAGGCCTCGAACGTGTCCTTCCACATCTTTTATTCCGAGATTCGGCGCTACATGAGCTTTATTTCTGATGAAACAGCGTCGTTTCATAAACAAAAGATCGATATGTAACGTGAGATGAAGTTGGAACAAAACATAATTATCTGTGTGAAAATTTGGCGGTGCGTCATACTCACGTAAGAGGAATTAGGCGTGTAGATACGCACATCCTGGACCTGGGCAACAGATGGGGTGAGTGGTCAGCTTTGAGCTTCGCCGACCTTATCCCCAGTGCGCGCTTGTGCTCGGTTCTGCCGGTACACCTGAAGGGAGGGGGCCACTCAGAGGAACCCAGCCGTAGACGGGAGGATAATATTAAAATTAATATTAAGTTAGTGGTGTTGGGTGACCTGGACTGGATTTATCTGCTTTCGAATAGAATTTAGGTTGTGCACAGTCTTGAGCACTGTAATAACTTCGTGAAAGCAAATAATTCTTGTGCCGTGTGGTCGTCTTTTAACTCCTTCAATTTGTGCTGTGGGAGCTCCACGAGTCATAAAGACGTGTTCGAGTAACGGGAATTTATGCATCACAGTCCTTGTATGTAGAGGGTAAAGGAGTTTCTACTGCCAATTACAGCGTTCTCTTGCCTTCCCCTGCTGCTGTATTTAAGTACTAACACGTGCCTGTGTCATATTAACACAAGTGACCTCTGGCGAATGCGAAAATCTACACACAACGCGAGGTTCTCTGCTTGTAATCTAAGACCGAGCTCTAACGCCTGCAGTATCTGATGCGACTACCCGCCTGACAGACGGGCCGGAGAAGTTGCCGCATCAGCACGGCGATACAGTGAATTCTACACAGGTTTCACGAGACGAGAGTATGAATTTTTTGTGCATGAAAAATCGTTGAAAACTACTTCTGAAATTGAATGACACGACTCATTTGCGGTGGCAGGAGCTCGGATCTCTGTAGAAGAAGACGATAAACAACAGGGCGGTCCTGATCTAAAATCACGATGTAATCCATCGCCCTTCGTACAAGAGGCTGCCGTGGTTCAATTCCCAGCGCATTTCAGTAGTGGATTCCCCTCACCAAACACTTATATTTCACTTTGTTCTCTTTTAAACATTGCTTTTTCCCAGCGCATTTCAGTAGTGGATTCCTCTCACCAAACACTTATATTTCACTTTCTTCTCTTTTAAACATTGCTTGTTAAACTTAAGAGAACCTATTACATCAGACCCAGTTTTCTTTACATAAACTACACTTCCTGGTGGCGGACGGCGAAACATTGATACCGGCTCCTAGCATTTCCGCATTGACCAGGCGTTGATGTGAGTTCGTCATGCGTGTTTTAGGGTCTTCAGGTTGCTGCTGAGGCCCGACCACGCCATCTTCAGTCCTGACGCTGTGTTCGAGGGCTCTTCGGGGCGCCAGTTGTACTTCGACCCCGGCAAGGTGTACGTCGGCACCCTGGAGGGTAAGTTTCCAGTGATTATACCATTATGACCTTGAGATCAGTCGGTAGATTCACTGATCTCAAGCTGGAGGCCGGAATTCTATTCTAGGCAGAGGCAAGGGGGCTTTCTCACTTAGTCCAGACCGCCAGGTTAGTGGCTCCAGGGAGCTGCTTGTCCGAGAGTAACGTGGATGAAGCAGACCATTTATTATCGTGGTTCTGAATGCCTGGAGCGTTTCTGTGAAATCTCTGTACAGCTTTATAACCAGCTCCTCAGTAGCGCAAGGGGAGGTTTTAGGTTAAGCTAGCCAGAATACTCTCCGCCTGTCACTCAACAACAGTGTTCATTAATTTAATCGTAAGAGCCCGCCACTGAACCCTGTTTAATATTTTAATATTATCCTCCCGTTCACGCCTGTGTCTCCCAAGTCCAGATGGTCGGGTCACTAGACCCTGTCTGTCTCAAGCCAGATGGCTTCAGTCCACGCCGTGTGTACCTGAGACATTTTTCCAGTGTTCTCCCATGTCTACAGTCTCTGAAGCGGTCTCTCTCCGTCAGGTTTTCTTATTTGAATTTCTCATATCTTCTGGGCGTGCTACATGCCCACGCCAATCTCATATTCTTTGATAGAACGACAAAGTCACGATTATTTTTCCACAGTAGCTGCTGATACAAGATGGCACAGATCGACCTGCGTGTTCGGTGGGAACAGTCGTTGGTTTAGGAAGTAATAAAAAATCTTTCTTTTATCGAATCGCTTTCAGCCATTTTCTTATAAGAGAGTATATCCGTTTTCGACTCCACACTCTGTTGCGGATCTAGCCACGGACATTCGCGTCTAAAAATTACGGTATTAACTGTGCGCATTTAATTGCGTAATTGTGTTCCAGGCCGTTACCATAGCGACCCTTTTGTGCTGATACCAGCTGCCATTTATTTTTCTTGATTCTAGATTGTGTTCGTGAATGTGAAGCGATTACTCGTGGCTGTTTTGGGAGATGAGGGGGGGGCGGCTGTAACACCCCCCTCCCCATCCCCCAGCTTCCTTTACACCCTGGCCATTGTGTCTTTTTTATGTCGTCCATTCCCACAGAACATAAGCCATTATCAGTAATCCCGATTAAGCCATTAACTGTCAACGGGTTATTCTTGCTACAGAGTCTAAGTTTCTGGTGCGATACGAGAGAAAAATCCCTCTTTGCGCGAAATAAATTTTACCCTCTCGTGCTATGGAGAGTGAATCCGTTTTTTAACGCGCCAGGCGTTAGGACGAGAAATTTGCATTTCGTATGATACGAATTTAAGTAAATTGTAGCAGCCCTAATACGTTTAAATATAATTTATTATAATATTACAAGAGCATAAAATTGATTGAGTCGTTTATTATTGACACTCCGTCTACACGACAATTTTTTATTATAATTTCGATGTATATTGAGAACGCTACATGTTTCGACCTTAATTGGTCATCTTCAGGTGGTTAGCTTTAAGTGTATTAGTACGTAATGGACTGTGGTGAAGTCAACAAAAGAAAATGTGTTATAAATTAGTAGTCATTTCTCTTAGATTCGAAACGTTAAAGAGAACTACCTGAAGATGACCAATTAAGGTCGAAACATGTAGCGGATCTCAATATATATCGAAATTATAATAAAAAATTGTCGTGTAGACGGAGTGTCGATAACAAACGACTCAATCAATTTTATGCTTTTGGAATATTATAATAAATATGTAGTGGATTTTTAATAAAAATTGAAACTGTTGTGTAGACGGGCTGTCAATAATTAACTATCAACGCACAGGAGTACCCGTCCATTACAACTATTGATTGAGACGCTTATAGATTCAAATAAGCGTGTGAAGTACCATTTGATAATTAAACACGAGGATGACTGTTTTCTCGGACGTTTTCAGACGTTTCAGAGGAGCTTGCTGCCTTCATCCTCAGGACGCTAGAAGCAGCAGGAACCTCTGAAACGTCAGCAAACTTCTTCCAGACTACACTTCCCGACATCCCAGAAGACAATTATCTTCATAATCATCGCCGTGAAAACGTGATATCTCGCAAATTCAATCCGAATTATTTTATATAATATGCTTCTGTTAATCGGTTAATCGTTTAATCTGTCGGTTCGTTTGTTGGCTCGCGCTTCTAAACCAGATTGTGATTAGTGCACAAGAAGTCGATGTCAACTCATCCTCTCGCCGAAGGATATGCAGTGCTCACATGAATTTATTTATTCATTTATAGTTTAGTTTTTAACTATACAGCCTCGAATAAGAGGGTGATGGCGGGTAATGAATTGGAAAGGATACGGATCTAAGCCGTAGTGGCCTAATTTAAGGTACTATCGTGCGTGTATCAGCAAAGCAGTGGCGTTGTTTCGACGTTTCAGACCCAGATTTGTAATTTTGCCAACTCATTCTGCATTTATAGCCAGTCACGTGCGACAGGAGGGCATTACATAAACTGTTTATCAGGGTCACCAATTTATGAAATAATCGGCTTTTTCTGTGCATAAGCCCCTGGGTTTACGAGCGACGGATTTTGGACAGATTTGAACTCGGGATTATTCCAGTTTGGGGACGAATGTCGCCTGAATTAAAGGGTGGGGGGGATTTAGGAGGGGGTAGGAATGAAATCTGGCAACGTTGCCTGAATCTTGCCAATGTGGCACGTGGAAGAGAGAATGAGAGAGAATAGTCGATGTGCGTGATGTGAAAAATCGATAGTAGAAGCCAGTAGTAAGCGATAACAAAACTGCCTTGTGTACCTGCTTCTAATCTTCTGATCATAAAGTCGCCGACTGCGTATCTAAGTGGCCGTGATCTTTAAAGCCACCCGAAATAACAACTTAAAGCATGCGGAAGGCAGATCAGTTCACGGAGAAGCGGTTTATAGAGACTTTGGTAGGCGTGAGACTTAACAGATGTTTACGAGCTCAGTCATTCGCTGAAAATAAGTAGAATCACAGAACAAACAGAGAATGGTTAAGAATTGAAAAGTCGCACGAATTTGTTATATGATCCGTGCATTCTACATGCTTCGCTCATCTCATTGTATTATGTTTGTTCACTCTGTTCGTACTTGATGACAGTACAAATTGTGAAACTCCTCGTTATGTGAATTCTTTTTACGTCCTGATAATACATATTTCCGCTGTCGTAAGATCAAATATTCTCCTGTTCGCTTTTTTCTCAGACACTCTCGACCATATACCGCCACGGTGGTCTGGTGGTCAGAACACTAGCCTTGTAATCCTGGGGTCTCGGGTTCGATTCCCGGCGGTGCCCGAATTTATAACTTGTGTTGGGCAAGGCCGTGGTCTAGGCAACACGGAGTTTTCCTCCGTGGCATCCCCACAATTACTCCATTCACACACAGAAGAAGGAAATGGCAAACCACTTCTGGATCATCTGCCAAGAACGTATATGAACAGGTCCCAGTCCGAGAAAAGGATGGAAGGATCCTGTTCATATGGACCTGTCGTCAGACAGAACACTAAATAAATAAAATATAAGACATTAGAAGGACGGCTTCTGTTTTACAATTTTTGTCATTTTAATTTTTATCCGTTCTTAGTCCAAATGTTGTCTGCAAAATACGTTTACTCTTAACTTCCCACCTCTAACCTAACCTAATTTTGTCTGTCATTTAAACAACAAAGAAAAACATGTACTTTAGTGTATTTTAGTTATTTTAATAATTTAGACAGCATCCGAGACGACAGAAAAACGTTCCCTCGGGTTTAATCTGCTCGTACTTTGACAATATTGTTCTTCTGGGGTTAGTCCTCCGTGTGGACTCGTACGTCAATGCCACCTTTCGGGATGGAGTCCACACGGCGTCAGAACCAGGAGAACAACACTGAAATCTTCACTTCCGTAAGAAACTCAAATCTCACTCGGCCATATTCGATCTTAAACATCTTCCAGAGTTCTTCATGTGTCATTAAAAGAAGTAATTTAGGAGGTGGTGTAGGGTAGCCATTCCTTGTTATAATTACGGTCATTAGCCATATTGGTCCTTTTTTGTTGTAATTAATCTCATACTGTAGTGTCTTACTTTAATTTCTAACTTTAGGGCGCAGAGAATTTGGTAGGTAGTTGCTCAGCAGTCCAAATCTCTCTCCCGCTTCTTATGAAACCCTGACGTCCATTATCGTGTTCATAAGAACCCGTCGCTGGTCTGTCCCGCATCAGAAGAATCCAGACCTAACTCTCCCGTACAGTACATTTTAATATCATCCTGCCATCTTCGCATAGGTAACTCAAGTTGTGTCTTCTGTTTATGTTTACCGACCAAAACTACGAACGCATTTCTTTCCTTCGGCGTTCGAGGTACACACAGGCGCCGACCGCCTCAACCTTCGTGGTTCGATCAACCTGATAAACTGTGCAGAGATATTTCTTATCATCTGAAACCCGAAGGCTCATCCTTGGTAACATGGCGGTCGCGCTAACTTTTGTGGGGAGGGCGTCGTCGTCTTTATATGATGGAAGTTGAGGAAAGCTTTTTTACCACTCGGTTAAGAATTTTCTGACTTTCCGTCTGCTAATTATCATAATTCTCAAATATTTGCTGCTATGAGGAATGCTTATTTCCTTGATAATTGTACCCACAACCTCGAGCAGCAAATGAAGATGGCTGTCTTCTGGGTTGGCCTGATGATGGAGGTGGCAATGACCTCTGAAACGTCGGTAAACTACTACCAGAATACACGGTGCAACAACCCAGAAGACAGCCATCTTCAGACTCACCGCCATAAAAACCTGAAATCTCATTCAAACAGCAAATGTTCATCTACAAGGAGTGGATTCAACTCGCTCAGGACAGTCTACTTGTAGGTTTATCTGAAGACGGTGATTAACCTTCCTGTTTCATTTAAAGACGTTAATCGTCTTGACCAGCTGAGCTACCACTAGATTCTTAACAAGGACTTCGATCCGCGGACTTACATTTTCAGAGCATGGAGCCAGCAGCTTTTATTAATGTTACGTAATGAAGAGTCCTCGACGG